AACCACATTGGGAATAGTCACTCTGACAGATGTGACGTGAGTGAGTGAGTGAGGTTTTACGCCATTTTAGCAATATTCCAGCAATATCACGGCGGGGGACACCAGAAAGGGCTTCACACATTGTACCCATGTCAGAATTCGAACCCGGGTCTTCGGCGTAACGAGCGAACGCTTTAACCACTAGGCTAGCCGATCGCCCCTGATAATGTGACGAGATAACAAGTGGGACTAGTTAGGGACGTTGGGGACTAATGTTTAAACCTCAATCAGTGTTTGGCTGTCAGCAGCTCACACACCTTGTTCACAGAATACATCAGCTGTCATTGGTTGGTTGGTTTCTTGTTTTACTCAGCACTCAGCAATATTCCAGCTCTATGACGGCGGTCTGTAAATAATCGAGTCTGGACCAGACAACCCAGTGATTGATATCATGAACATCGATCCACGCAATTGGGATCGATGACATGCATCAACCACGTCAGCGAGCCTGACCACCCGATCCCGTTAGTCGCCTTTTAGGACAAGCATAGTCCCTTTTACGGCAAGCATGGGTTGCTGAAGACCTCTTCTACGCCGGATCTTTATTGTGTTTCTCCCCAAAGGCAAGTGTGTCCTTTTTCTTCCTCAGCTACCGGGGCGTTTGGGTAGCCTAGTGGTTAAAGCGTTCGCTCGTCACGCCGAAGACGTGTACAATGTGTGAAGCCCATTTCTGGTGTGCCCCACCGTGATATTGCAGGAATATTGCTAAAAGCGGCGTAAAACCATGTTCGGTTACTCCTTGGCTTCCGGACGAGATTCCCCCGAAGTCTCCAACTCATGGTGATGCTTCTTACCAGGAGACCCCTCTCTCACAGAAGCCTATCGGAGACTACTATAGACATCGTACTCAAGTGTTGGAGAAAGAGTACTGCTAAACAATACAAGATTTACCTTGACAGATGTTAACAGTTATCTAGAGCTTTAGGACAGGAGGCTTTGTATTGTGACTTATTTTCAGCACTGAGAGGGCAGCACAAGCACAATCACAAGATATGGGTCTTCGACCAACCGACCGCCTCCGTGGTCAAGTGGTAGAGCGTCCGCCCGGAGAGCGGAAGGTCCGGGGTTCGATCCCCGGCCGTGTCATACCAAAAGACGTTAAAAGATGGTACTTGTTGTTACCCTGTCTGGCGCTCGGCATTAAAGGGCTAAAACAAGGACTGGTCGGCTCGGAGTCAGTATACTGTGTCTGAGTGGGGTATTCATGTTAAACTGCGGCATGATATCTCAGTGAGCTAGCACTATAAATCGGCATCAGTCCGGATAAGTACAAGCAGCCACACAAACACACACACGTGCATGCACGTCGCTATATAAGCGCAATAATCTTGGACGCGACACTAAACCCACCTCACCTCACCTTCGACCAACTGGTCTCAGACACAGTGCCAACAGCTCCCGGCAACGCTCGTTCCTTCAACTCATCCTGCATACGTGTTCTGCCATCAGATGTGGAGGAAAAGAGTAGCAGATCTGGCACGTGCGTACTCTAATCTACTCTGTCCGGGCTGAGAAGTGCCCAACATGGGCAGCACAGGTTAACGCCAGGCTAACGGTTTCCTGTCGCGTGTAGCCGTACACGATGTCGCTTGGGATCTTGAGACTCTTGTGACTCTTCTTCTGGAAAGTGAGTTTTAGGAACCTCTTTTAGCAATATTCCAGCAATATCGATATCACGGCGGGGAGAGCAGAAATGGGTGACACCACTCACTTTGGGAATCGAACCCGGACCTTCGGCGTGACAAGCGAACGCTTTAGCCACTAGGCTACCCCACCGCTCCTCTTCTGGTCTGAGCAGTGTTGTTTCCCAGACCTCATGGTGTCAGTGTCAGCACTCCCTCAAACGCGGTTCTTGAGTGATGTGATGGGAAGGCCCCAACGTTTGGCTGCACGCTGTACCGGTACGTCTTCGTTGATAACCAAATTCTATGCACTGGTTAAATCGTCTGGACATTGCCACGCAGTGGGGGCCTCTACTTGATATACAATGCAATTAAAATAAAGACCATTAATGTCAATAAAACTATTATTTATCAGCTGTAAATTTAAACCAAAACCGACCGTTCCACGCGATGACTATACAACGACATATGAAGTTCAAATAATTATGGTCCCAAAAGGTTTCCATAAATCTTTTAGCGTGCAACAGGCCGTCACAATGGACCTAAATACATTATTTAGGTCCGTGGCGTTACCAGTGTTGGCTGCGGTCTATTTTTCTATTTTTAGAATTGAGCTTCGTCGACAGATGATGATGACTTGATTTCGAGTTCTCAAAATCATAATTTTTGACCCACCAATTTTAGTAATAAGAATAAAATATGTATTTTAACCCCGTACTGGTATCATAGTTTTCTTGTCACCCTGAAATGCGGAAATTCAGAAGAAGTTGGTGTCGATCCAGCGTCTGTGTATTTAAGGAGTGGGGGTAGTGGAGTCATAAAAATGTTACTTTTATTTATAGGGGGTGGCGGCATGAAAAAGTGTCACATACAATGGGTAGTGGTGGGTGGGGAGTTATGAAAGCCCGAAGACCGATTTTAACCCTCCCCATCCATCCCTTCTCCCACCCAGCCCACCTTATAATAAATGACGAGTCTCGCATTGTCCTTTTGTTTCTTCTTGTCATGATCTTCATCCCTAACATTCGTGAAGGATGAAGCAACATGTGCCTAGTAAGGTGAGCTACAGATATCTTTGGCACATGATAATAGCATATATTCTAGGGTTATCATTACCATAGGGTGAAATCTAGGGTGGTGTGCTGCCAGTGCCACATGAGTTAATGATGTATTGGTGTAAAACGTAACAGCTTCCTGTGCACATAGTGTTGAAGTACCCACAGTTTGATGTCGTCAAACCCAAGAAAGCATGACAAACTACACATAACACGGGGATTGGTGATGTAGAGCTTAGAGGAAGTATTTTCATACACTTAGTATATGTAGTCATCAATATTAGGTTGCAGTTTTCAATAATAGGTTGCACTGGTGCAAATGTTTTATATAGGTAAATCGAGCCCTGATATCATGAGATAACAACACTTTTGTCAACAGCCGGGGTATAATACATCACTCATATTTAGTACTATTATATAGTCATACCCCATGTATTATACATGACATAACAGGTGGGGGCATTATCATGAGTTTTGTAATAATGCTTCATGTTTAAAACTAAAACAACTGTCAGAAACAGGTAGTTATTCATTAAATATACATAAATACATAAAGTATTAAAATAAAATAGCATTGCAATGTTCTAAATATTAAACCATAAATACATTGCCACATGAACCAAAGCATTTAATAGTTATCTACATTGAAACAATGTATAATCTAAATGCCTTAACTATGACTTAAGTTCTGTTGTCTAAGTCTTAGTATCAATGTAGTCCATATAACCCAACTATAAAAAAACAAAAAGTAACATTGTCGACACCACTTAATTACCTCTGAGTCTGGACAGCGCCCTAATTACCCAGGGCTAATCATCTAAAAATAGATATCCACATATTGTTATCTCTATTTATTGGCTAATTTTGAAAGGAAACGTCGAAATTTATTATTTTCCTACGGTCATATAGCTGAAATATTGCTGAGTGCGGCGTTATACAACAAACCAACCAACCAACCAACATAAATGTTAATCCCTAATATGATTGGTCCCCTCAACCTAAACTTGTTGTGATTGGTCAACTAACCCAAACCGATGGTTTTAACACGTATACATGTAGGTTAGTGAGACTTTTTGTCAGGGAAGTACAGACTTGATCTAGCCTTCCTCGAAACAAAGCTTGTTTACCTGATACTTAGACACCACAAATAAAGTCATAGTTTACATGGCATTGTTGCAATACTCATGTTCATATTTAAGCCCATGATATCATGATATATCATTTAAATTTAGCATAGATATTTATTCATACCCCATGTGTTGTCAACATGAGATAACATCAGGTGGGGTATGATTCAACACTAATATTTAGTAATAGTGTAACGCTATTTTTCAGGGCATTGTCATTTGCAGAAGCCCGAGGTCTTCCATTAACTGCCCGATGAAAGGGACTTCTCCCAAGAAGCGCTGCCTTGTCGAACCCACGTAGAACTTTTCGGAGAATGTGAAGACTCCCCAACACTGCATTACCAAGATTGTCAGAAGGGCTGTATTCCTGACAGCAAACCCGGGTACTCTCCCAATGTCAGTCAACAGATTGGGAGGTACCAAACCTAAGGCAGCGGGAACAATGGGGAGTCGGACAACGTTGTACTTGGGATGGAAGCCTGACATTTCGAAAGCGAGGTCCGCATATTTGCCATGTTTTTCTTGAATCACATTAGTGTCAGAAAGGACGGAAAATTCAATAATATAACCGGTTTCATTGAATTTATAAAAAGGGACAATGTCGGGTTTGTTGGCCCGGATAGGTGTGAGGCTATAAACGGACTATTCCAAAGGATTTTGTATCTTAAATAAAATAGTTCAAGGTAATCTATTAGACTATGTAGACATATCTTTTGTCTGGGAGATGGGATCTTGATACCTCAAGCTAGCATTTATCTAAAAGCTGTGGAGTTGAAAGTGTTGGCTTACTGTGACCCAGTGTTAACCAGATTTCCTTGTGTGTGTGTGTGTGTGTGTGTGTGTGTGTGTGTGTGTGTGTGTGTGTGTGTGTGTTAGCCCTAACTGGGTGATGTACGTTTGGTTCAGGGGAATAAATCCTCCCTTTCTAGGCTCACCACGGATAGGCGACCATCATCAGGCCCCGAGGTGTACATCCCAAGGCCATTATTATTATTATTATTATTATTATTATTTTCGTCCTTCGTGTATGATTGTAATTAAATATCGCATCATCACTATTAACATCAGCCAGCATTCAAATACCCACTTGAACTCAAAGTGAAGTGACCTGTGAAACCACTTCATCTGGTTCATATTCAGATCTATGCATAAAGATTCAGTGTCTCAACTGAATAAAGTGTTCTCCTTGTGTCAAGACATATTCTAGCACCTCCAGCCTTGGGTGTCCACAATTCGTGGTACACTCGCGCCCTCAGTGTTTACTGAAGTTATTTCCGGCCTGCTCCATTCGTTTACAATAGCCAGCTGAGAAGTGTACTCTTAGCAGTTATCCTTTCAGTCAACTGGCAAAGTAGGACACACCAAGCGATTCAATTCTCAAGTTTCTCTTGCATGCAGCATGCGTGACCTCGTGTGTGTTCGTCGTGTTGTGACCAGGCCGCAGGCACAAAGATGGGAGAGGTAAGTATTCAACAAATAACATCAACATGTCTACATATTGGGAAATCTTGATATTCATGCAACAGCGCGTATTGCTATATATGACATCCTTACCACGTTTGGCCTCTCGACACGAGGGACAAGCATCCTGGATGGATTGGGCGATACGACCTGAATGTCGTTCCCTGTATGTATGTTATACGGCGCTTCGTACAATGTGTCATTTCGACTGTGACGCCGATGGTGGTCGTTGTGACAACTCTGTTTCGCCCAACATAAAAGATTTTCATTTCCATTTTTATTTCCTGGTATGTCATGACGATCGTTTGTCGGAAAGGTAAGACTTCCGCCCGTACCCCCACTCTCAAAAATATATATAATTAAAAGGATTGAGCGGCAATGCATACATATGTAACTTTTGAGGGGGAGTACGAGGGGGGGGGGGAGGGGGGGGGGGGGGGAGCCTTTCCGGATATACACCATATGGGAGTGTCTCATGCCACTGATCGGCACGTATGCTGGTAGAAATGGTCGTCGGTGAGCTGACCCACGTCGCTGTGTTTATGCTGATCTCGGCTTTGACATAAAGAATATCCTTTATGTGCTAAAACCGGGACTCAGGAGACATAGACTTACACAGGCTGTCCCATAGAAAACGTTTCTCTTTTATTATTGATAATAATAGTCCATTAATATGTCGCTGTACTTTATGCGTAAGCATGCTCTAAGCTTTTTGAAATTTATTACCCCGGTCAATGGATCAGTATGCACTCAACAATCATTCTCAGCTCCTTGGAGAGTATACAACCCAAGCTGCCTGTTTGTTGTTTGTTGTTTTACGCCGCACTCAGCAATATTCCAGCTATATGTCGGTGGTCTGTAAATAATCAAGACTGAACCAGTCAATCCAGTGATTGATATCATGACCATCGATCCACGCATTTGGGATAGCGAGTCTGACCACCCGATCCCTTTTAGTCGCCTCTTACGACAAGCATAGTCGCTTTTAAGTATGGGTTTCTGAAGAGCTATTCTACCCCGGCTCTTCACGGGTCGAAGCTGCCTGTTATTTGCTAGAAGGTGAGAAACCACATTGCCACCTCATCCTACTCTACATTAACTGCTGGGTGAACAGAGGCACAATTCGAACAAAGTCACTTGCCCAAGGAGACACCACAATTGCTTCAGTGTGGGGCAGGACCGAAACCCAAGAAACTCTCAGGAGCCAAGCCACCGAACACGGCAACCCATCCAACTACTCTCCGCCACCGATGTTGCTTAACTTCACCTGATTTGTGACGTGCGCTGTGCATAGCTGTGCTGTGGTGACATAGGCCACGTGCCACCATTATTATTATACTTATTTACATGTAGTCTGTCATACAGACCCTGAAACAAATATATCAAATACTGCCCATGCAAGTCTATTATAGATGGCAGTCTTGATTGTGTTTCGAAAGTAAACCAAACCGTAAGAGGTATTTGGTAAAGAAAGTCTTCACTGTGAGGGTTTCGTCACCAACAGGCTGGTATTTCCCCTACACCACCCCTCTCTCCACCCCCCTCTCTCGCCCACCTATATTTTAGTAAACTTCTTCCCAACGCGCACACCCGGTGACTGCGGAGGTCTAAGGGAGATAACTATGATACTTCTCCTACATATAATAGTATCGGCAGAATTTGCTGCAGCAGCTAAATCAAAATGATCCTTCCCATTACAAACACACACATACTTTAAATGCAATAGTATCAGCGACTGATATTTAAATTCCAACAACATTTCAAAGAACAATAGCCAACGATTTCTTTGTTTTTGTTTCAGAGAGAAATCAATTACACGTTCACCCTCATCTTGAGTATCACCATTGCTGTGTTTGGAAACTCCTTCCTGTATGGGTATCAGATAGGCGTCGTCAACACACCTTCACACGTGAGTATTTCATTATCGTCAGTTTTATATGCATTAAACACCCTAACTCTTCTCGTCAGTTTTATGTCCATAATACTCTTAACTTTTCAATGACTAAGAAAGATTTTAGTTTACAAAATGATTATAATTGACGCCTCTATACGTTGTGATTGGAGTGAGTGAGTGAGTTGGGTTTAACGCCGCTTTTAACAGTATTCCAGTTATATCACGGCGTGTCAGCTTAATGTTGGAGGAAAGCCCGAAGTGATGCAGGTATCAGACGTTTACCACTTCGGTTAAACCCACGAGCACGGATATGGTGCTGACAAACCTAGAAACATAATCGGTTCGAACCGGGATTCGAACCCACATAGGTTTCTGGCGTGTCCAAGGGACGCAACTCTGCACAGCGAATCGCGGCGCCTTAGACGACTGGGCCACCCGTACCCCCTTAATGACTAAGAAAGATTTTAGTTTAAAAAATGATTATAATTGACATCTCTATACGTTGTGATTGGAGTCTGGGTGAATCAGAAACATTGTATCTGTGTAGTTAGAGTAATCACGAACAGCTGGAGTGATATCCAGTAACACTGTAACAGTATAGTGAGTGAGTGAGTGAGTATGGTTCTACGCCGCTTTTAGCAATATTCCAGCAATATCACGGCGGGGGACACCAGAAATGGGCTTCACAAATTGTACCCATGTCGGGAATCGAACCCGGGTCTTCGGCGTGACGAGCGAACGCTTTAACCACCAGGCTACCCGACCGCCCCTGTAACAGTATAGCATCTGAGTTAGCGACTTGCCGTCTCACATGTAACGATGTTTATCATTATATCTGTAACTTGTAAATAAGTAGACCAATAACACAAAGGCCACACGTCTACAACACAAGGGCCGATAGGGTAGCCCAGTGGTTAAAGCGTTCGTTTGTCCCGCTGAACGTCCGGCTTTCACTTGTAGTTATTGTTCAGCTTCTCAAGAAACTGATTCACATCTATTTTCAGATTGTGGCAAGGTAAAATTTATCTGTGAAGAACTTCAAAGTTGGTTTCAAGATAAAATCGAATTAAGAATTAACAAATTCTTCCTGGCCTTTGTCACAGAAATAACGATCCAAATAATGTAATTCTAATTCTTTTGTAATCTATCATATTCAAGTATAAATATACTAAGCGTATACCAACTTTTCGGTTCTTGCAGCAGGAACTCTATAAATACTTTGTACTTTCAAAATGTTCAGCCATCTTCAGTTCTAGAATTGACTACTTCTATAAATTTTGGTCTTTGTGTCATAACCTATTTATTGTCTAATGTCATGTTAAAGATCTATATTATCTTTGCAACTGTAATATATATGTGAAACTCGTCCTGATATTGCTGGAATATTGCTAAAACGGCATAAATTGCTTAAACTTGTCGCCTTGGACCATATGAATAGTAAATCTGAATTTCTTGAGATACAGCCTTGGCCCATTTATGTAGTAAACTTGGATAGATGTACCTTGAAATTTTTTACAGTTGTATTAAGAACCTCATCTGCACTGATAAATCATGCTTCCATTTTCAATTTTCAGATAATTAAAGATTTTTATAATGCCACGTATTACGAGAGAAGGGGAGGTAACTGGAGCAGCATACAGGCATATGCTTCATATCTGGAAGGCCTGAATAAAACAATATCAGACAGCAATGCATCAACAACCCCAGGTCCAGCCGAAAAAACTCCAGCAGATTTTGGTGCCGACGAGTCGCTGCTGCTTGAGAAATGGGAGCTGGAACTACTGTGGTCTTCAACAGTTGCTGCCTTTGTTTTCTTTGGAATGGTTGGCGCTTTCCTGGCACTTAAAGTTGCTGACACTGTTGGAAGGTATGTGTGAATTGTCCAGGGTTTTGTATACCCAAACCTATAAGGGCGGAGTTATATATTGCTTTCGATGAAATTCCGTCCGTCCGTCCTTTCGAGGACAGTTTTTGTGTACGACCTATAACTTGAAAACTACTACGTAGATTCTTTTCGAACTTTATGAACACTTTCTAAACGAAAAGGAGAGTGAGTGAGTGAGTGAGTGCGTTGGGTTTAACGCCGTTTTTAACAGTATTCCAGTTATATCACGGCGTGTCAGCTTAATGTGGGAGGAAAACCCGAAGTGATGCAGGTCTCAGACGTTTACCACTTCGGTGAAACCCACGAGCACGGGTATGGTGCTGACAAACCTAGAAACATAATCGGGCGAACAGGGAGAATAGGAGAGGTGCAGTCCAATTTCAATAATTGTATTTTCTAAAAATACCATACAGCTATCTTTCTTTTTTTGACTTGAAATAACTTGAGAACTACTTCATGGATTCTTTTTTCAATTTGGGGTACAGTTTCTATACCAATAGGAGAGTACAGTGCAACGTTTGGTTTGGTATGTTATTTTCTGAAAAAATATGACTGTTTCGTGTTGAATGTTTTTTTATTTCCACATTTGTACCACGTATAACTTGAAAATTACTTCATGGATTCCCTTCCAATTTGGGGCACAGCTTCTATACCAATAGGAAAGGTGCAGTACAAGTCGAATCGATAAGTGGATTTTCTGATAAAGCTTGCCGATGGTGCAGCAGCGCCGGCTTGAATCATGCCATTATTGTGTTTTTAAGAGAAACCGGCTCAAATGTTAAGGCAATATCTTCAAACAAAAACTGTTCTTCAACTGATGTTGGAGTCGAGGTGGAGGAATTGGTGAGCCCTCAGATGCCCTTAAAATATATATGGTGTCCCCCAACTGATACGAGGGGCGGTCGGGTAGCCTAGTGGTTAAAGCGTTCGCTCGTCACGCCGAAGACCCGGGTTCGATTCCCGACATGGGTACAATGTGTGAAGCCCATTTCTGGTGTCCCCCGCCGTGATATTGCTGGAATATTGCTAAAAGCGGCGTAAAACCATACTCACTCACTCCCAACTGATACGAATCTATGTATTGAGTTGTTTGATAGGCATTATTTAGAAGATGACGGGTGACAAGTAGACACAATTTATGGATAACAACTTCTTTATTTACTGCGAAGGTCTCCTTGACTTACAATAAATAAAGACGTTTTCCATTAATTATGTCTACTTATTCTATGTATTGTAGTCTTTAAATCACAACGTACAACAATTAATTCTTTTGCAACCGTTTACAATATTTATCATCCTGTAAATCCCTGTGCTTTACATGAGGGGTGTCACAAGGACCCCTTGATTTTCATGCTTAATGAGACCCGGGAAGATCCCGGGTAGTCTTCAGCAAACCATGCTTGACGTAAAAGGCGACTATGCTTGTCGTAAGAGGCGACTAACGGGATCGGGTGGTCAGGCTCGCTGACTTGGTTGAAGCATGTGATCATATCCCAATTGCTATTTTGAACGTTTAAAGTGGGAAATCGCGACCTATTGTTAAAATAGGGAACTTCGTGGACATTTCGGGCCAAAGAATTCTCATGCATGTATTTTGGCATTAAACATGGCGTCCGAGGCTAAAAGTCGGGATACAAATGCCGAGATGACAATTACATTTATACGATCGCACGAAAAGATGGAAAAAGTAACTTAGATGTAAGTTTGACAAGTTTTAGAAACATGTTTGGTGATTTTATTTATTACTGTTTATATAATTTTTATACGAATTGCTTGAAACGTCTTTTTATTGCTCTTTGACATTTTCGTTATGGACCCCTTGTCGAAGCATGTGTCCCAGATTATTTTTTTTCAATAACATATCGGGAAATAGCTCATAATCTATTAATAAAATATGATAAGATTTTCTGACATGTGAAAAGTATTATGATTTATTTACCATGTTTACTCACTGAGTGGGTGAGTGAGTGAGTGAATTGGCTTTAACGCCGCTTTTAACATTTTTCCAGTTATATCACGGCGTGTCAGTTTAATGTGGGAGGAAAGCCCGAAGTGATGCAGGTCTCGGACGTTTACCACTTCGGTGAAACCCACGAGCACGGGTATGGTGCTGACAAACCTAGAAACATAATCGGGGCGAACCGGGATTCGAACCCACAATCATAGGTTTCTGACGTGCCCAAGGTACGCAACTCTGCACAGCGAATCGCGGCCCCTTAGACGACTGGGCCACCTGAGATTAACACCTATCACTCCGAGAACAAATCTGCCGGCCTCGGGCCTACGGACCGATGTCTATTTCGAACACTGTGACCAGGACACATTGCTCCAGTTGTATGGAGATGTGCATGCATATGTAAGAATATAGGCCCTGGCCATGATATCCGCACTGGGTTAGGCGGCTCAGCTGTAACAATAGGACATGAGAGACATGTGAGACATGAACAGTCAGCGTTCGCACTATTGCTGACTCAATAGCCCACACCAGGTATATATACAGTCTCATAAAAACCAGATCTTAGTTCTCGCAACCGCAAAACAAAGATCTGAGGATATCCCATTACAGGTCAGGTCAGAACGACCCTCACAAACCGACCAATGAAATGACAACACAAGTCGACATAAGCCATTTTTAGTTGGGTTTAGTCCCCAACACATTTGTTTAGCTGTTAATCACAATCCTAAACATGTCAAAATTATGGGACAAGGAACGGGTGTAAGTTGGTGTTTAGGATCTAAACACATTTTGTACAGTCAGTCTTTTTCTTCTTATTGCTTTGTGCAGTTATTTGTTAAACACATAACACTGAAAGAATACATGGCGGTCGGGTAGCCTAGTGGTTAAAACGTTCGCTCGTCACGCCGAAGACCCGGGTTCGATTCCCGACATGGGTACAATGTGTGAAGCCAATTTCTGGTGTCCCCCGCCGTGATATTGCTGGAATATTGGAACCATTCTCACTCACTCACTCACAAGTAAATAGACCCGTGAAAATACAGGGTAGAATAGGTCTTCAGCAACCCTTGTTTGCCGTAAAAGGCGACTATGCTTGTAAAACCATACTCACTCACTCACTCACTGAAAGAATACTCACTCTCGAATTCTAAATATCAAGCTGAGATATTCCTTTTTAGAACATAGGGTATTTAGGGTTTATTAGGGTACTACTTGAGGTTTAATGCTACAGTAAGTGAGTAATTATTGTTTTGCGCCGTATCAGCAGTTTGGTGCTATATTATCTGAATCTGATCTGTTTGATTGGTTTGTTGTTAAACGCGGCACTCAGCAATATTCCAGCTATATGACGACGGTCTGTAGATAATCGAGTTTGGGCCAGAAGATCCAGTGATTAATATCATGAGCATCGATCCACACAATTGGGATCGATGACATGCATCAACCAAGTCAGCGAGCCTGACCACCCGATCCCGTTAGTCGCCTTTTACGGCAAGCACGGGTTGCTGAAGACCAATTCTTGCCCGGATCTTCACGGGTCCTGATCTGTTTGAATACATTGATTATTGAAGATAATGAAAGTTTCAGTTGATCTTCCAGAAATTGGTTTTGTCTACCACAGTCAATTTTGACTTCTAATATCTGTCTGGAGTCATTACTTACAATACATGGACTCTTTTTTTACACTATTATTTTTTTTCTGTTGCAGAAAGCGTGGCATGGTAGTCATCACATTTATCATGTTCTTGGCTGCGATTCTCGGTGGAATAACAGTCATCGCCAAGTCTCCAGAGTGTCTCATTGTGTCTCGAGTCCTGGTGGGATTGCATTCGGGGTTAAATATAACTTTGGTGCCTCTGTATCTCACGGAGATAGCGCCAAAGAAAATCCGTGGCGCTGTTGGCACTTGTCATCAATTGGCCATCACGCTAGGGATTCTTTCTTCTCAGATCCTGGGAATGACTGAACTTTTTGGTAATGATATTAATAATCTGAAATAATTATCATCAATAATCAAGCCACAGCAACATGTATATTTTTCATAAGAATAACCATACCATTCCATACTGTACCATATTTAAATAGCATACAATATTTTAATACCATACCATACCATACCATACCATACCATACCATACCATACCATACCATACCATACCATACCATACCATTGTGTTTACTTGCCAAACGGCCGAAACTGTAATTTTGCATCGGTAGGATTTATTTTTGAGCTGACGATCACCAGACAAAGACATTTTGTAGGATTCTAGCTTTGGAGAAGTGGACTGTTGTACACTGAAACTTCCTCAGCCCAGACCCTGGTTATCTGGAAAACCCTGTTTACATTGATCTTGTTTAGAATGTCTATACATTCAAAAATGTCAAAAGACCAGACAAAGACATTTTGTGAGATTCCAGCTTTGGAGAAGTGGACTGTTGTACACTGAAACTTCCTCAGCTCAGACCCTGTTTATCTGGAAACCCTGTGTACATTGATCTTGTTTAGAATGTCTATACATTCAAAAATGTCAAAAGAAAGATTTATCTATCCCCATGAATTATTAATCGAGAAAATTGATAATCATCATGTTAATCCGAAGTCTGTAGTCTCGATTTGCAAGGTTTCATTTTTTATGGCTACTTCGTACTACGCTTGCCTCAATATGGCTTGTTAGAATCCAATTGGGCCAAAGAAAGAGAAAAGGGACATATCGAGCATAAGCAGCATGTAATTCAAGTTCCATAGCTGGAGATATATAAATCACTTCAATATGGCTATGTCAAGTTTAGTGCCCCCACAGCTATAGATAAAAACCTCACTTCAATATGTCTCAGTCACGTTCAGTGCCCTCCATGGCTACAGATAAAAACCTCACTTCAATATGTCTCAGTCACGTTCAGTGCCCTCCATTGCTACAGATAAAAACCTCACTTCAATATGTCTCAGTCAAGTTCCGTGCCCTCCATGGCTACAGATAAAAAGCTCACTTCAATATATCTCAGTCAAGTTCAGTGCCCACCATGGCTACAGATAAAAACCTCACTTCAATATGTCTCAGTCAAGTTCAGTGCCCACCATGGCTACAGATAAAAACCTCACTTCAATATGTCTCAGTCAAGTTCAGTGCCCACCATGGCTACAGATAAAAACCTCACTTCAATATGTCTCAGTCACGTTCAGTGCCCTCCATGGCTACAGATAAAAACCTCACTTCAATATGTCTCAGTCACGTCCAGTGCCCACCATGGCTACAGATAAAAACCTCACTTCAATATGTCTCAGTCACGTTCAGTGCCCCCACAGCTATAGATATATACCTCATATATAATCAGTATGGCTATGTTAAGTTCAGTGTCCTCCATGTTATAGATATATACCTCACTTCAATATGTCTATGACACGTTCATTGCCATCCACGGCTATAGATATATACCTCACTTCAATATGTCTGTGTCAAGTTCAGTGTCCTCCATGTTATAGATATATACCTCACTTCAATATGTCTGTGTCAAGTTCAGTGTCCTCCATGTTATAGATATATACCTCACTTCAATATGTCTGTGTCAAGTTCATTGTCATCCACAGCTATAGCTACTCGTATAAACCCCACTTGAATATGGCTATGTCAAGTTCAGTGTCCTCCATGTTATAGATATATACCTCACTTCAATATGTCTGTGTCAAGTTCAGTGTCCTCCATGTTATAGATATATACCTCACTTCAATATGTCTGTGTCAAGTTCAGTGTCCTCCATGTTATAGATATATACCTCACTTCAATATGTCTGTGTCAAGTTCAGTGTCCTCCATGTTATAGATATATACCTCACTTCAATATGTCTGTGTCAAGTTCATTGTCATCCACAGCTATAGCTACTCGTATATACCCCACTTCAATATGGCTATGTCAAGTTCAGTGTCCTCCATGTTATAGATATATACCTCACTTCAATATGGCTATGTCAAGTTCAATGTCCTCCATGTTATAGATATATACCTCACTTCAATATGGCTATGTCAAGTTCTATGTCCTCCATGTTATAGATATATACCTCACTTCAATATGTCTGAGTCAAGTTCAGTGTCCTCCATGTTATATATATATACCTCACTTCAATATGTCTGTGTCAAGTTCAGTGTCCTCCATGTTATAGATATATACCTCACTTCAATATGTCTGTGTCAAGTTCATTGTCATCCACAGCTATAGCTACTCGTATATACCCCACTTGAATATGGCTATGTCAAGTTCAGTGTCCTCCATGTTATAGATATATACCTCACTTCAATATGGCTATGTCAAGTTCAATGTCCTCCATGTTATAGATATATACCTCACTTCAATATGGCTATGTCAAGTTCAGTGTCCTCCATGTTATAGATATATACCTCACTTCAATATGTCTACGACACGTTCATTGCAATCCACGGCTATAGATATATACCTCACTTCAATATGTCTGTGTCAAGTTCTGTGCCCCCAAGGCTGTAGATATATACCTCACTTCAATATGGCTATGATAAGTTCATTGCCATCCACGGCTATATATATATACCTCACTTCAATATGGCTATGTCAAGTTCTATGTCCTCCATGTTATAGATATATACCTCACTTCAATATGTCTGAGTCAAGTTCAGTGTCCTCCATGTTATATATATATACCTCACTTCAATATGTCTGTGTCAAGTTCAGTGTCCTCCATGTTATAGATATATACCTCACTTCAATATGTCTGTGTCAAGTTCTGTGCCCCCAAGGCTGTAGATATATACCTCACTTCAATATGGCTATGATAAGTTCATTGCCATCCACGGCTATATATATATACCTCACTTCAATATGGCTATGTCAAGTTCAGTGTCCTCCGTTGTTATAGATATTAACCTCACTTCAATATGGCTATGATAAGTTCATTGCCATCCACGGCTATAGATATATACCTCACTTTAATATGGTCATGACAAGTTCATTGCCATCCACGGCTATAGATATATACCTCACTTCAATATGTCTGTGTCAAGTTCTGTGCCCTCCATTGCTATAGATATATACCTCACGCCTTCACCTATCAAAGGCTATATTATTTTCTTTTACGAATTTATTTTCAATTAGTTCTGACAATGTGGTGTTCATTTCTGTTTCAGGCACTGTTGACTTGTGGCCCCTATTGTTTGCCTTCAATGCTATTCCCTCCCTTGTCTGTCTCTTGGTATTACCCTTCTGCCCGGAGAGTCCAAGATGGATGCTCATCTCCAAAAACAGGGAAGAAGAAGCCAAAACAGGTGAGTTAGTCCTGTGGACATCGATTAAATTTTTAATTTTCAAAACCCTAATGTTAACGATGTAGGGATCCCTAGATTCAAATACAATGGTTAAAAACCTCAAGTTCCCCTACATTTTGCCCAGTGCTTGTGTTGTTGTTGTTGTTGTTGTTGTTGGTTTGTTGTTTAACGCCACACTCAGCAATATTCCAGCTATATGATGGGGGTCTGTAAATAATCGAATATGGGCCAGACAATTCAGTGATTGATATGAGCATCGATCCACGCAATTGGGATCGATGACCATGCATCAACCAAGTCAGCGAGCCTGACCACCCGATCCCGTTAGTCGCCTTTTACGACAACCATAGTCGCCTTTTACGGCAAGCATGGGTTGCTGAAGACCTATTCTACCCCGGAATCTTCACGGGTCCCCAGTGCTTGTGACAAAGGTGGAATATCCCCCTGGTCATGTTCATGCCTCCAGGGTGTCTGCCATATTACTTTTCTTCTCATGTGACAGTGAGAAACAACAATGGTCGCTGATTATGTCACTGAATTCATTCTTATCACTATCCGCGATTTCAGGGTAAGAATAGGTATTCAGCAACCCATGCATGCCGTCAACTATCTTTTTGGCATCTGGATTTTCACAATTATTTCCCTTTAAAAACCATTCGACAAAAGTTGGTTATCACCGAATAATAAAGAAATATTAATTGACCGAATATGTAAGAGGTGCGAATTGATTTAGAATCCTAAAATATTACACAGTTTCACACATATCTCTGATTACTACGTCTGGGACTATAGTCCTCAACCATCATTTTCGCACATGGATATTCACAATTATTTTCTATTAAACACACCATCACGTGACAAAAGTTGGTTATTATCGACTAATAGTCATTATCATTTTAAATCTGATGATAGAATTTGGATAGAGAGAGAATTTTGAGAGCCACAGCCATAGGGATAACGTTCTACAGTATCACCGAAAATAAAATAAAAATGACACTGAAACATGGTCTGAATGTGAAAATGCTGTCCAAAAAATAAATAAGTGAGAATGGATATAGCCGAGAGCATCGATCCGTGCAGTTGGCATACGATGACATGCATCAATCAAGTCAGCAAGCCTGACCATCCGATCCCGTTAGTCACCCCTTACGACAAACATAGTTGCCTTTTACGGCAAGTATGGGTTGCTGAAGACCTATTCTAGCCCGGATCTTCACGGGTATTGTTATGAAGAACAATCGAATTACCGGGAAAAGTTTTAATGTGCTGAAGCCGAAGTTGAAATCTTGTGTAAATACAGAAAGTGGGTTATGCGATTCTTACTGGCGGGTGCAAAGCACGGCTGCATGAGAAGTCCAACAAGGTTTGTCTTGTATTTGGACGAAAATATTCAAATGATGAAACATTCAGAATGCAGAGGTATTTCCGTTGGGGGACCTTTAAACTAATCCGACAACGTTGTGACATGATTTAATGCAGCTGACACAGAATACAGGCTTCGACAACAAATTGTTTTCTTGACTGACTTTTGCAGTAAATATGGAACGATGGTAAATAAAGAAAATACAAAAAGATGTAGTGTTCAAAAGAGGGAGAAGTTCAGAGAAATGGTATTATAACCGAATTATGTTAAATGTTACAAACAGTGTCAGTGAACAAGTAGTACCTCGGAGTGATCTTTACTACTAAATTATCATGTACATTTACTCATTTACATTTTTCTCGACAAGGCCGGAAAGCCACATTTTGCCTTTTAAAATTTATCCGCAAATATAGAATATATGTCTAAATTTCACTCTTTCCATTGACAAGATCGTGGAACATCATGGAACTGAAATATGGGATTTCAATATATAGAGAATGTTGAGAGATTTCAGTTTCACTTGTGCAGACAAATTTTGAGTGTTGGAAGCCAAACTAGTAATGAGGCAATGTTGGGAGAGTTGAGTGACTTACATGAAAAAGTGCATCACATATTGGACAAAGTATTATTCAAGCCAGATTCAAGCATCCCAAATGTACCTATCAAATGCTTATCTCCCTTGACAATGCTGGTCATAGGACCTAGGCTGGTGGTATACGTAAATTATTATTTTCTTGAGGATTTGGATGCACATAGTTTGCTCATGGTGTTGGCTGCGTCAATACGTTTATCTCTGCTTTTCATCAACCACTCAGAGATTTTCGACTTCAGGAAAGGAATTCTAATATTCGTGATAATCAGAAAAAAGAAGTATACAGTTTACTTAAACGGTCCATAAAATAAAGAAAATTTTCTCTCCCACATAAAATGCTTCAAATTCAAAATGGCACTCAGTAGATTTAGATGTTGATATCATAATGTGCACATGGAGCTGGGCAGATGGTGAAATATTCAAAGAGAAGAGCGACTTTGTCGTTACTGTCATTCCACAGCAGATAGCTCCGTTGTGGAAGATGAACAAACATGTTCTGTTTAACTTCTTTCAGTGGCATTTAGAAGTTTGTGTGATGTAGTAAGACAAGTTCTATGACTTGCTTGATAAAGGTGTTAGGATCTACACCGAAACGTCGCACTAATTGTAATAAAGAAGTTCTTCATCCATAGAACTTGTCTTACTACATGTTCTGTTTGTTTGTCCAATGTATAACAGTTACACAGGCGAATATATACTGCCATCTAATATTTATTCATGTATCAATACTACATTAAACATGTGTAACAGAGAAAAGGAAGCTTGGAGACTAGGGGCATTTTTATATTTCAGTCTTATCCAAAGGAAGAATAAGGTACACGTTTTGAATATATTTACTGAGACTAAATTCGTTTCATATTTATGAATGCTATTTTAAACATGGCATGTTTCTTTAAGCCGTTTGAACTTGTATTTGTATCCATAAATGTAAACATTATGAAATTTAATCACTCGGGACAGGCTACTGCCGAGAGATTAGCAGTATGTTGTATTTTATTTTTACGCATTTGTAATAGCAATTACGATAATGGATAATTGTTTTTCACATAAACTATTTGTAATGAGAGGTATGGGCTGAGAGGCCTACATTCTGAATAGATTATATATTGATAATGAATTATATATTCACGCGGCAATTTGTATTTTAATGCGTCCATACTTGGATGATGTTACCTTGACACACCGATGTGCGCCCAAGGTAAAAAGAAATTTAGCTGATTAAATCATTAAAACAATGGAAAAAATAGATTTAATATTTGTGTTAAATTTCAACAGCCATGCAGAAGCTGCGAGGTTATGATAATGTAGAAGACGAAATGGGTGAGATGAGGGCGGAAGCGAAGAAGTCGAGAAACGCAAAGAACTTCACCCTGAAGGACCTCCTGACCACCCCGGAACTCAGGATGCCAACAGTGATAGCCTGTGTGGGCCAGATCAGCCAACAGTGGTCTGGCATCAATGTTGTAAGTCAAAGTAGAAAAATGGGTACCCGAGTAGGCATTCCAGGGTAGAATTTGTGTACGGTGACCTGTGTGAGTTGCGCGCGTGCGTGCGTGCGTGCGTGCGTGCGCGCGCGTGTGTGTGTGTGTGTGTGTGTGTGTGTGTGTGTGTTTGCTACCAAACAGGGAGGCAATTTATGACACATCAGAAATAAACGCAAACAAGCTCATGGTTTATTCAGTACATCTTTATTCTTCCAATTTATGTAAGAGTCGTAACTGAATTAAGTGTTTTGGACATTTCACTTTACCTGCAGGTGATGTCTTACTCTTCCTTCATCTTTGCACAAGCAAATGTTTCGGCAACACAAATCCCATACGTCATTGTCGGCACCGGATTCGTCAATGTTGTTACAGCAATCGTCGCGGTAAGGTACATTCTAACTCACCACATGACCTGAAATATTTGTCCTTTTTATTTCAGTGGTGGTAATTGTCCTATCAGGATCAGGTCACTGAATTATCTTTAAATGGTGACTTGGTAAAAATTGGAGAAAGCACACACATAACCCTTCAAACAAAGACCATAGATTTTTCATAAGAATATATGAAAAATTTCATTCTTTGGAAAAAGGGTCTTTTTTCTTTGCTTGAACAACTTAAGAAGAAAGACATTGATTGTGTAAAGAACTTTATGTACATTATTAGCGTTCCTTGTAGGGATAACTTGAATAATCTGTGACTTGGTGGTGTGTCAGGTTCCTCTGATGGAGAAGCTAGGACGTCGTCCTCTGTTGCTGTGGCCGATGTGTGTCATGGCTGGGTCCTTCGTGCTTATGACCATCTTCCTGCAGCTGCAGTTCGACCTTTCTCTGAAGGTACGTCTTTGTCGTGTAATGTCAAGTGTGATGTCAGTTAAACAGCCTTCGAAATAAAAGATCGTCAATTAACCATGAGGACATGTACAGATCCTTCACTGAAGGTACGTCTTTGTCGTGTAATGTCAAGTGTGATGTCAGTTAAACAGCCTTCGGAATTAAAGATCGTCAATTAACCATGAGGACATGTACAGATCCTTCACTGAAGGTACGTCTTTGTCGTGTAATGTCAAGTGTGATGTCAGTTAAACAGCCACAGGTCTAGATGTGAGTTATGTCGTGTCAAATGTAGTCCAAGACAACCGAATTGTGCTGAGGACAAGTAAAACACATTTGTGTGATATAATTCAGAACTGTCACACTCGGAGAGTTTAACAAGACACACATGAACTCATTTCAGGCCAGCCATTCAACGTTTGCTATGATCTGCATCGTTCTTATGCATCTGTACATCGTGGGATTCGCCCTTGGTCTCGGTAAGTTTATGTGTATGCCTGGCACTTGAACACTTTATGTCTGCTGTGCTCAGTGCACAGCTCCAGCTGCCCTCCATTGGGAGTCCTTTGTGACTTATTTCAAGTCATTAATTTGAAGTTGAAATAATCGGTAAAAGGCAAATTGTCAAAGAATCAGTGTTGTATATTACAAACAAATAGTGACTGAATTCTAATTTTATGAGAATTTGCATATTACTTATGTCCAAAGTCAATGGGGTTGGCGCCACACCCTCCTTTGATGATGACACCATGCTATTTTGTGATTCGTTCAACATATTCTTTTCCCAAATCATTGTAAAGATGTGTGGTAAAAATATCATTTGATAGCTGCATATTCTACACAGGAACTTACTAATTTGTAAGCCATGAAACCGTTTATGACACGGGCTTTTCCTTTGTACCATCTTTAACATCACCTTCCAGTTGTAACCTTCATCCCTATCTATAACCTTGCAATGTCCCAGGCCCCATCCCATTCACCATCGTCGCCGAGATCTTCAGACAGGAATCTCGTGCTGCCGCCATGAGTCTGTCCGTTGCCTGCAACTGGATCTGCAACTTCATCCTCATGTGGACCTTTCCATTCCTCAGGGTATGCAGCAGGGATTGTGAAACTGTCGAATAGAATGACAATTCCAAAAATATCAATGAGAAAATCAATGATATGACCAAAAAGATAAATGATCTGTCCGAGTTCCTTCTTGTAGATAGGACACAGTGTTTAGATTGTTAATCTTCACACAGAGAGGTATCAAGTGGGGACACTCCCCGCAAACTCTTGAACAAAATAATAATTCTTATGCTTCCGACTGTTAAAAAAAAATTACCTGCCACAAAAAATACATTTTTGAAAGGTGATTTTCTAACAAAAATCAGGCTCATAGTTTTAAAGAAACCTATATATGGTTTTGTAGCTGAAGCTGACAAAGTATCTAGTCTCGATACTCAATCCCAGTTTTTAATGTTTAATTTTATGGCATCGGACTCACCTACATCTCATGTGTTTGCTGCAGGATGGACTTGAAGCCTACACCTACCTGCTGTTTGTGGTCATTCTGGTCGCTGCCATCATCTTCATATTCTTCTTCGTACCTGAGACGAAGAACAAAACAATTGACGAAATTGTTAGCTCCATCGCACTTGGTGGAAGAGCTCATGGAAAGAGAGATGGCTTCAAAATCAATGAAGATGACAGTCTAATAACCAACACGAAAGTTTGAGAATGGGAGAGTAGAGATCATTGGACTATATACAGGATAGTTAGTATGTCAAACTGTAGGGAGATGAACGGAACAGCGTGTGTGGTTTGGGTTGGGCAAGGTAAAGAACGGCAACAGTTACGTCGTGAAGACATAAAAATGTGAGAATATTGCCAGAGGTCGAAGGTTGCTCGAGGTTTTTCTTGGGTACAAACTTTTGAATGTGGTATATATGAATAAGGTATGTGTATTCATTTTAACAATAATCAAACTTGTCTGAGAAACTATGTAAAATACTCATCATATTGTCATGTGTTAGACCATGTAATGTCATGTCATGTCATGTCCTTCACCAAAACTATCAGCCACATCGATATGGCAATATAACAAGCTCATAGGAAATGATAACACCACTAAGAAGTTTATCACTGTTTATTGTAGCGAGATATACAAGTTTTAGCAATCTATGCGAAACTCATTGTGACGGTGCGGGTCACCAACGTGTTCTTTCACGGTAGCGAAGTTTAACTCTGCTTGTACTAACCCTTTTCTGAGCTTTTCTAACCTACACACACTAACACTTCTACTCTACCAGTATCTACTCGGAGCAGCTACAGATAATATCACTGCGCAGGTAAAGGAGTTCCTGCTCCCATTTTGACCAAGCCAGTCCATGCTTTCTGTGCACCAATCAGATCGGACTACACATAGTCAGTCTACAGTTGGGGTCCGTTTAGGGTTTATTTAGGTTTAGTCTTCTCGACTAACATGGGGGTCTTTCTAGGTTGTGGAAAGTTCATTAAAACCCCCTTGTAAAACAGGCGACCTCCGAGATCATCAATGCTGGTGTCACCAATCTCTATCAACATTGTATCATCTTTTTAAGCTGTGCGGGTGGGTCCAAAACACGATCTGATCTTCTGTAACTTACAGATTCGTATTCCTGATGATTTCATATACTGTCCATATCTGGATGAATACTCCTCATTTGTTTACAATACATCCACAGCCCCGATGTCACATCATCACACACTGTAATATTTTGTGACATCTCTGTGTACAATTGATTCTCGCTGGCGCATGGTCATTTCTCATTCCTGGGAAATATGGGGGCCCTTCCATGTACCATCTTTCATCATTAACGACTCGGATGTGTTAGAATGGTAACTTTACTACCACTACTCCCGGCATACATCATCTTCCAGAGACAAGGGAGTCTGCTGACTATAAAAGTACAGTTTCCTTCCTTGCCGAAGTAGGCTGGAATTTCGTCGCTCGATCGTATCGCCACCTGTGGCTATCACGAGTTATGTCCCTTCCATGTACTTCATATCAATCAGATTCCATCTCTGGCGCCCAGTCAAGACGATCTGATCGATAATCAAGATATATATTGTAATAAAACGGGTTTTACCCCGCGAAGTGCATCAACTCACCTATGCACCTTGATTACAACATGACCAAATTTACAACAGCCATGCTCGGCAAGGGTAGAAACTGGACTTTTTATAGTCATTTAACGCCCTTGCCTCGGGAGTTCTGGAGTTCGTGGTCTCGCCAAGCGCAAGCCAAGACTGCGCAGTCTCTACTTCATTTGCACCAAACAGATCGCAGTACACGCTGTCAGCCTATCACAGGGGTCCGTTAGGTTTTAATTAGTTTTTGAGATCACAACTAACATTCTTGGTCGTGGAAACTTCATTACAATCGTGAGCTTTTTGTTTTACTTGTGTATATTGTCATGCTCCTCCATTGAAGCATGTCGCATTTACAAATTGTTGTACATACAGTCTTCGAAAGTATGGGCATTGACTTTCTGCAACAACATCATCCAGCTGATGACCGGGGAATTATTATGATTGCATTTCACTGAACCCGGGTCAGGCATTATTCATAACATTACAGGGTTTTTAAGTCAAAATGTCCTATCCAACTGTAAGACGCTGTGCTAGACCAGATCAGAATTGCACCAAACAGACTTTATAAGGGACTGCTTGGGGAGCTTTATGCTTTTGGTTCAGGTGATGTGTGGAGATTTCTACACGGCATCTACACACATTCTGCTTCATATTTAAATATGCCATGATTCTTGGATGTGTTGGTTCAGTTTGAGACAAGGATTGCTATTAAACGAACAGCTAGTATCTGTGAGGGGTGGTCGAATGATTCCATCTAGGTGGCATGATGAACTGGAAGTGAGAGATTCGACAACTTGGACTGGACATGCTATCTGATAAAGAATGTTGAAAAGCAGGTACACTTGGCTGGTACCAAACGGTTTCAGTTTCATGATGCCCCGTGTTAAGAGTCGGCTTGGGAAATTATGGACTCTCCATATTGGAGAACTGTATACTAATTCTGAGTTTGGACATCAACAACTGTTCTTCTGACCGTTGCCCGAGAGCATGAGTGTGATGTTTGTTCAATGACACAGAATCCACTTATTCAGAATATACATTTCAACAGAACATCCACCTATTCAGAATACTAGCATGCATATCAATATTCACTAGGTGATATTTGTTAAATAACAAAACGGTCACATAATTATTCGGAATATACATTTCAATATTCACTGGGTGATATTTGTTGAATAACAATACGGCCACATATTCGGAATACACATTTCAATATTCACTGGTGATATTTGTTGAATAACAAAATGGTCACATAATTATTCGGAATATACATTTCAATATTCACACAGTGATATTTGTTGAATAACAATACGGCCACATATTCGGAATACACATTTCAATATTCACTGGGTGATATTTGTTGAATAACAAAACGGTCACATATTCGGAATAGACATTTCAATATTCACTGTGTGATATTTGTTGAATAACAGAGCGTCCACATCTGAAAAAATCTATTTCAGCCAGATGCCATGTTTGGATTGACTATTTTGTTTACCAAACAAAAGCGACAAAACCCTTACGATATTCATAATAAATCTCTGCCAGAGTCGATTGTACCATTTAGACAATAATAATCATGAGCATGCGCTTATGAATCACTATCAAATAGTGATGATACCAGGTGTTCGCGAAATGGTGAGCGTATCCTACCTCAGCGGTGGCACCGTCACAAACACATGTAAAGGCTAGTCGTTTGTTCATCTGAAAAAAATCACGGGCACATATGTTTCAAGTCAGAATAGGGAATTGCATCGGAAATCATTTTGACCATGATGCGTCAAATTTAGAAATGTCCTCCACATGTCACCCATACAGCCTCATTGAGGCATTGAATGTGGTGACCTTGACCAAAGAACTTCTCAGCAAGTCAAAGTCTTATGGGTAGAAAGAGCACGCACGCTTGTACTGCAAAAGTTATGATATGTAAACACCAAAGGCTGGAGCTGCGGGAATATTTTGATGTGTACCATATATTTCTGGGTTTTTTTAAAGTTTGAGGTGAACACTTGACTTGCCTTTGCATGTGTTTGTGACGAGGATCAGAATACGCTCACCTTTCGCGAAAGCCTGGCATCATGACTATTGACCAGTGATTCAGAAACACAAAACTCATGTTTTAGTTGGAATTACCTTGTATACAATCGAATTTACTTTTGGCAGAGGTTTTAGAAAGGGCTTTGTCGCTATTATTTAGAATTTTGAATGGATGAACAAAACAGAGCTTTATGTTGATGGATAGGTTGGAGCTGTGTCTCGCATGTTCCAGTTTGGTGTCATCAATGCAAATAATACAAACATGACTCAGTAGTATGTGTATGTCATGTACAATGGATGTACGTCAGAAAATGAATAAATGTTATGAATATTACCATGTATTTCAACTAAACTTCGGTCATGACGTCAATCACTGGATTGTCAACAACAACAACTGAACTTCGGAATAAAGCATGCTCCATGTACCCAACCAATATACTGAGAATTCAAAAATAGCAGTACTCTGAAACTTGCTATTCCACATGTATTTTCCTTAATGTAAACCTTATTTTGGTTTTAATGTTCCCTTAATGGTTAAGATGAGATATGATGAATATGACCTGAAAAGTTCACGATCTTCTTTACACAGAGTGAGTGAGTTGGGTTTAACGCCGCTTTTAACAGTATTCCAGTTATATCACGGTGTGACAGCTTAATGTGGGAGGAAAGCCCGAAGTGATGCAGGTCTCAAACGTTTACCTCTTTGGTGAACTGGGATGAGAACCCACAATCATAGGTTTCTGGCGTGCCCAAGGGACGCAACTCTGCACAGCGAATCGCGGCGCCTTAGACGAATGGGCCACCCATGCCCCCTCTTGACATAGAACTATATATATGTAAGATATAATTTTGCATCCTACCGCGTAGCCATCTTGCACCCATTTTATTGCCTCGACTCTAACAATTGATCCAAATGTATGTTCAGACAAAGTAGAAGGGGATTGGGAAGCATAGTGGTTAAAGATTTTCTTGAATACCTTTTCACAAGTAAAAATAAAGGGCGATAGGGGAGCCTGGGGTGGTAAAAGCGTTCGCTCATCACGCCGAAGACCCGGGTTCGATTCCCGACATGGGTACAATGTGTGAAGCCCATTCTTGGTGTACCCCGCCGTGATATTGCTGGAATATTGCTAATAGCGGAGTAAAACCAGTCTCACTCACTCACTCACTCACAAGTAAATAGACCCGTGAAGATCCAGGGTAGAATAGGTCTTCAGCAACCCATGTTCGCCGTAAAAGGCGACTATGCTTGTTCGTAAGAGGCGACTAACGGGATAGGGTGGTCAGTCTCGCTGCCTGGGTTGATGCATGTCATCGATACTAATTGCGTGGATCGATGCTCATGATATCAATCACTGGATTGTCTGGTCCAGCCAGTAAATATCTATCTTGTAGTATCCTGTATCAGGTCAGTTGTTCAATGGGTGTGAAAAGGTTTAAGTTTCCTTTTCTTTGTTCTTTTTGTGTGAATTGTCTCTTAAGGTCTGGCGAGTCTTGAAATATATATTTAATCTTTATTTTTATGGCTTTTAAAGGTTCAGTCTTTGTAAACACTGTCATACCTAGAGTCCATCTTCTGTGAAGTTGGGGGCCCAGATGGCGCGGATGGCCCAGTCATCGAAGGCGCCACATTTCGCTATGCATAGTTCGGCCCGATTGTAAGCTCACTCTGTGAAATTCAGTTTGAAATACAGTTTAAGCAAGAAAAAATACAGTTTTAATCAGTGCGTGTCAGGTGAGGTTTGGTGAGGTGAAATTGGGTTAAACGTCGCGTCCAAGATTATTGCACTTATATAGCGACGTGCATGCACGTGTGTGTGTGGGTGTTGCTGCTTGTACTAGTCCGGACTGATGGCGATTTATAGTGCTAGCACACTGAGATACCATGCCGCAGTTTAACATGAATACCCAACTCAGACACAGTATACTGACTCCAAGCCGACCAGTCCTTGTTTTAGCCCCTTAATGCCGAGCGCCAGACAGGTTAACAACAAGTACCATTTTTTAACGTCTTTTGGTATGACGCGGCCTAGGATCGAACCCCGGACCTTCCGCTCTCCGGGCGGACGCTCTACCACTAGACCACGGAGGCGGTCAGTGCGTGTCAGGTTGATGTGGGTAGGAAGCCCGAAGTGATGCACGTCTTAGACGTTAACCACTTCAGTGAAACCCACGAGCACGGGCAGGTTGATGACAAACCTAGAAACATTGTCGGGGCTATGTGTTAACCCTGTTATTAGATCGTTGTTCATGCCATCAACCACTGTTTTTCATGGCCAATCCTTGATTATGTAATTGCTACAGTGAGTGAATGAATTGCATCTGATGTCACTTCAGCTTGTTGGTTTAATGTTGAAGTCCATTTAAAAGATTTTAAAAGTTACCTTTTGGGTGTAGAGTTGGTCCTCAGTAAATTATTCTTGGCGACTTGTTAAGTTTCGGTCACATGTACCAAGATGATATTTATCGTTCAGATAGATTAACGAATGATAAGTGGCTGCATTCTGTTTGAAGCTGTTCCGTCAAAACCTCATGTACTCATCAGTGCACACAATTCTATGACTGACAGGGGGCACGGGTGGCCCAGTCGTATAAGGCGTCGCGATTCGCTGTGCAGAGTTGCGTCCCTTGGGCACGCCAGAAACATATGATTGTGGGTTCGAATCCCGGTTCGCCCTGATTTTGTTTCTAGGTTTGTCAGCACCATACCCGTGCTCGTGGATTTCACCGAAGTGGTAAACGTCTGAGACCTGCATCACCTGCAGTAATACTGTTAAAAGCGGCGTTAAACCCAACTCACTCACTTACTCTATGACTGACAAATTGTCTCTCCCGCGGCTGACATGCAGAACGTATAGCTGAAATACCAACCCAAATCCCGAGCGGCGTCCAACCCAAATCCCATAGAAACAAGTGTACACACATGCTTTTCAAGACACCCGGATCATGTGCACAACGCCCCCCTGCAATATGCTGGGATGGATTACTCCCCTTGAGTTCCGGTTGAGTGATCTCGTCAAACCCACGCGTGGCGTGTTCCACTTTCCTGCATATGTAGGTGACTCTTGGTTGATGCATGTCATCGTGAGAGACGATCATACCCTCATATCCGGAACATAGGTCTGACCAGGAGGTGCTGAGACGAACATACCATCATATCAGGAACATAGGTCTGACCAGGAGATGCTTAGACGATCACACCATCATATTCGGAACATAGGTCTGATGAGGAGGTGCTGAGACTAACATACCATCATATCCGGAACATAGGTCTGACCAGGAGATGCTTGGACGATCATACCCTCATATCCGGAACATAGGTCTGACCAGGAGATGCTTAGACGATCATACCATCATATTCGGAACATAGGTCTGATCAGGAGATGCTTGGACGATCATACCATCATATCCGGAACATAGGTCTGACCAGGAGGTGCTTGGACGAACATACCATCATATCAGGAACATAGGTCTTACCAGGAGATGCTTAGACGATCATACCATCATATTCGGAACATAGGTCTGACCAGGAGATGCTTAGACGATCATACCATCACATTCGGAGCATAGGTCCGATCAGGAGGTGCTTAGACGATCATACCATCATATCCGGAACATAGGTCTGACCAGGAGATGCTTAGACGATCATACCATCATATTCGGAACATAGGTCTGATCAGGAGATGCTTGGACGATCATACCATCATATCCGGAACATAGGTCTGACCAGGAGTTGCTTGGACGAACATACCATCATATCAGGAACATAGGTCTTACCAGGATATGCTTAGACGATCATACCATCATATTCGGAACATAGGTCTGACCAGGAGATGCTTAGACGTTTTAACCATCATATTCGGAGCATAGGTCCGATCAGGAGGTGCTTAGACGATCATACCATCATATCCGGAACATAGGTCCGATCAGGAGGTGCTTAGACGATCATACCATCATATCCGGAACATAGGTCTGACCAGGAGATGCTTAGACGATCATACCATCATATTCGGAACATAGGTCTGATCAGGAGATGCTTGGACGATCATACCATCATATCCGGAACATAGGTCTGACCAGGAGTTGCTTGGACGAACATACCATCATATCAGGAACATAGGTCCTACCAGGAGATGCTTAGACGATCATACCATCATATTCGGAACATAGGTCTGACCAGGAGATGCTTAGACGTTTTAACCATCATATTCGGAGCATAGGTGCGATCAGGAGGTGCTTAGACGATCATACCATCATATCCGGAACATAGGTCTGACCAGGAGATGCTTAGACGATCATACCATCATATTCGGAACATAGGTCTGATCAGGAGATGCTTGGACGATCATACCATCATATCCGGAACATAGGTCTGACCAGGAGGTGCTTGGACGAACATACCATCATATCAGGAACATAGGTCTTACCAGGAGATGCTTAGACGATCATACCATCATATTCGGAACATAGGTCTGACCAGGAGATTCTTAGACGATCATACCATCATATTCGGAACAAAGGTCTGATCAGGAGGTGCTGAGACGAACATACCATCATATCCGGAACATAGGTCTGACCAGGAGATGCTTGGACGATCATACCATCATATTCGGAACAAAGGTCTGATCAGGAGGTGCTGAGACGAACATACTGCTTCGTCAGTAGTGCAAGCCTATGTCACATCTGGAATTGACTACTGCAACTCACTTCTCTTTAGCTTCTCGAATCAGTTGTTGAACAAAGTGCAGAAGGAACAAAATACAGCAGCAACGCAAGTAAGTAAAATTAGGAAACACGACCATACCATTCCGGTTCTATAACAACTACACTGGCTGCCTGTGAAATACGAAACCCCCTTCCTTGTCTTCAAATGGACAAGATCCTGAATATCTCCCCTGCCTGGTTCATCCGCATCAGGGGGCACATCTGGCCCAGTCGTCTATGGCGCCGCGATTCGCTGTGCAGAGTTGCGTCCCTTGGGCACGCCAGAAACCTATGATTGTGGGTTCGAATCCCGGTTCGCCCCTATTATGTTTCTAGGTTTGTCAGCACCATACCCGTGCTCGTGGGTTTCACCGAAGTGGTAAACGTCTGAGACCACTAGAGACCTCTACCACTAGACCACGCATTTGGGATACGATGACATGCATTTACAAAAGCATGGGTTGCTGAAGACCTATTCTTCCCGGATATTCACGGGTAGGCCACACAATACAACGCTACAGAGGATTCAGTAGGCCCGGACGTTAAACCTCTTTAAACCGCGCTTATTGACTGAAATGAATGCCTACTGCTATAAATAACTGTGATATGTTTTTAATAGAATGGAATTCA